CCAGCTGCTTGGACCCGTGGCGGCACCTCCTGACGGTGCCGGCAGGGACTCGGGAACTGCGGAAACAGTAGAACTGTAGCAGAAACATGGGAGTTGCGAAGCAAGACGTACTACAAGACGGCTACAAAAATTATGCCCAAACCTCAATCCCAGCTAGGTTCTCAAGGCCGCTACCCGTACTTATGAAAACCCTGCAGAAGTAGACAACATATCATGTGACGGTCTCTGTGCCCTAATCTGCCGAGCATGCTCCGTTGACTGAGATCCAAGGCCCAGGCCATCGGACCACTATTCACCGCCCCGCCCCCCTGGCGGTGTCAAGGCTTCAGGACAATTACATCTGCAGCTCGAAACTGCCATGCAGNNCCGAAATCCGAAGTGGGCCCTCGCCTGTGCTCCCAAGGCTGCAGACGTGGAAGCTGGCTATAGCATGCTCAGTGCACTCGTAGTATCCGCTTTCAGTGGCGCCTCCCCCGGCGCGAACGTCGACCCAGACACCTGAGCTGCGCGTGCCTCTGAACTTCAACTGGGCAAGTAGAGAACAACGAAAACGACGGCGACGGCGACAACGACAACGACAACAACAAAACTTGCTTCCGGTTGCAAAGACTCGTCCCTGACAATCTTATGCATCCAGCTGCTTGGACCCGTGGCGGCACCTCCTGACGGTGCCGGCAGGGACTCGGGAACTGCGGAAACAGTAGAACTGTAGCAGAAACATGGGAGTTGCGAAGCAAGACGTACTACAAGACGGCTACAAAATTATGCCCAAACCTCAATCCCAGCTAGGTTCTCAAGGCCGCTACGCGTACTTATGAAAACCCTGCAGAAGTAGACAACATATCATGTGACGGTCTCTGTGCCCTAATCTGCCGAGCATGCTCCGTTGACTGAGATCCAAGGCCCAGGCCGTCGGACCATTCACCGCCCCCCCCTGGCGGTGTCAGAACTTCACAACAACTAAATCTGCAGCTCGAAACTGCCATGCAGGAAGTGCCGAACCGAAATCCGAAGTGGGCCCTCGCCTATGCTCCCAAGGCTGCAGATGTGGAAGCTGGCTATAGCCTTCATCCCCTCGTACCCGATTTCACCTGCGCCTGCCACGGCATGCACATCAGGCCAGGCGACTCTGACTCTGACACCTGGGCTGCAGGATGCTCTGACCCTGAAGTCAACACCAAAACCTGGGCAGCTGGGCTTAGCTCCGATACCTGCGGAGGAAAACAACCAGGCTAACACGCGGCGGTCCCTCTTGCATACGTCCAAGCAGCTGCTTCCGTCGGAAGATACGATTCTGCACTGGACGCTGTCGCAGTGAAAGCCGGAGCCTGGCGTGCGGGAGGGGAAAAAGCACAGCCGACTTGAGTTGTTAAGCAGAATGGGATCTGTAACTCGAAAATGCGATGCAGGAAGAAGCATGATTCAGATGATACTGAGGAATATGGTGATGGCGATGTCTTGAAGATGGGCTGCTAAGGCTGCTGGTTATGATGGTGGTGGTAATGACGATGACGATGAAAATGATGCTGATGATGATGGTGGTGGTGATGATGGCGATGTGAAGCTGATACTTGTGCGGACTCTGAAAGTGGAAGGCATCGCTGTGATCATGGTAACGATCATAGCGATGACAATGACCTTGCGAGTGATTGAAATGCTCAGAAATCTGCAGACAGCCTGGCCGGGCTTAGCCGACTAGCACCTGCAACCTGAATCCTCGTCATCAACCTCAGTCCAAACTTTTCCAAGCTGCTGCCAAGCTCCCGAAAACCCTGCACTCGAACACCTGTCACAACCCGAGGCCTTGATGATCTAAACCTTCGCACAAACCACACCGGACCTCAGGAGTCCTAAACTTGAAACACCTCCAGCCCTCCCAGCCAAAGAGCATCAAAGCACCGACTCTTGGACCTCCGGGAGACGCACATCTCGTAATTCTCCGCAAGCCGAGACTTCACGCAGCCTGGGTCCAGAAAAATTAGGGCCAGGTAGGAACTTGAGTTGAGAACTTAGCCCCTGGAAGGACTTGTGGGCCTCACGATTTCGCGGGTGTGTTTTCTGAGGTTGGGTCTGACTAGCGAGTTTGGGGTCTCAGGCGTTCTGGGGATAGTGACCGCAGGGCTGCTGGCTCTTGGGGGTCTCGAAGACCAGGACTTCTCAAGTTAGGCGGATGACCACAACATTACTGTAAGTTTCAGGGTATCCGGAAGGATCCGTCAAAGGATCTTGGAGAGCGATGTCATAGTCATACTCACGATACAGTCAATCATCCAGCGTAGCTGTAAACCCTGTATACCAGATCACTGGATCAAATCCCGTTCATCCTATAGCGTTACTTTTCCTAGCATGCACGTCGCTTGGCACACTTGCCACCCCAGCCAAATTGCTCGTCGTAGTAGAGTCGTCTGTGGTGGCTGCTGCTAATGCTAGTGACCACGATGCTCTTCCGGATTCTGTGCCCAAGCTTGTTGCTGCGCTTATGAAACGAACAAGACACCGGAACAAAAGCAAAGCTTGGAATCTCTCTGCCATGGTGATTTACCACTGATACCGCAGACAAGTAGCCAGGTGTTAATGTCCTTCAGCTGGTCCTGCGTGAACCATGATGTTGCTCCGGCGAGCGCCAGCAGTGCCTCAACAAGCTGTCAAGTTACTAAGCAGAAACCTAACAGAAAAGTGCACCGGTAGGGAAGCAAGATGATGAAGTGGATGGCTCCAACTGGCGCGTTATTTAAAGCCTGAACCATGTCAAAGCACTTAGAAGTACAGAACCAGAACACAAGAAAGATACTTGGCTCTGCAAAGGTGCTTGGAAGTTCCTGTCCAGGACCGAAAAATTGTCCAACGCCTTCCACTCCTCGATGCAAGCATTCGTAGACCACTGTCTGAGGGGTCCTAATGCTCTGAGAATGAACCGATAACATTTATGTACTGGCACGAAGGGGTGCAAGGGCCTAAGGATTCACAGGAGCTGCATCCGTATCCCCATTGTATGGACCAAACCTGACTCCCAGATCATGGTGACGCTGATGTTGACAATGACGATGATGATGACGATGACGATGATGAGGATGATGCGAGGGCCTATTGATACGATTCTTGCTCGTCCGATAGCTAGACATGGCCGCAGTCCTCATGCATCTGCTTCAGTGACTCGTAGAGTGTGTCCGGCTCCAGACCCAGGTCAGCCACTGACTTGCGCCAGTTGCGGGTGATAAAGTCCAACCTGAGTGAAACCCCTGCCTCCAAACCTGGCAACGTGATACGACAAAGTAACTAACAACTGCAAGGACTCTTTGCTTGCCTCCTGCTACATCACATCTACATCAATGTTACTGCTATCGATGCACCTCTTGTGTGTGCGAACATGAGCATCTGCACAGTGCCTCTACATGCGTATGAATTCATCTGCACACATAGCTACATGAAGCAAAATTCCAAACGAATGTAAAGCTGAATCAACAAAGAGACTGATTAAGCAGATATCTGCGTATGTATATATATATATATGTATGTACTTATATACATACATAAATGCATACATGCGTATGAATGTATGCATGTATGGATGGATGGGCGGATGGATAGATGGAGGTATAGAGGTATGGATGTATGGTGATGTAGGTATGAGCGTATGAGCGTATGTATGAGCGTATGTATGTATGTATGTATGTATGTGTGTATGTATGTATGTATGTATGTATGTATGTATGTATGTATGTATGTATGTATGTACATTGCATGCATGTATGTAAGTATGTATGTACGTATGTATGTATG